ATGGCGGTGGATTCACCGCTATCGTTGCCGCTCATGTTACCGACGTTGGTTTTTTGAGGTGGTGACAATCGTTTCTCTCGGATTTAGGTGCGAGGATGTCTTTTTTGGATAGCCCTTTTGCTGTTGACGAAAACATTAGACGATTTTAGCTATTTTGTTTCGAAGGTACGTCATAGCTTTCTTCAAAAATTGTAGGCACTAGCATTTTATTGAGGAAACTATGTTTAAATATTTCCATTGACCATCGCAAGTAAGGCATATTATCGTGAAGCCAATAAAGAATTACAATTAAAATTGATCCGTCACAATTGTATAAGTAGAGAGAAAAATAAAACTTACCGTTCCGTCTCTAGGTCTTCAACTATAGGTACTCGTTATTGTATGCCAACACTTTGAGTATCTGATTTTTTTGTTATGCCGATTGTACCTTAGATTATTTAATTAATGTATAAATTCAACAGCAAAGTACAACAGTTATTATTTTTCCACGTGCCACTGGATTTGAAAGAACAGATACACATACCACCACAAAAATCTCGAGCCAACACGGAATGTCGACTATTGCTCAGGTATGTGAAGGAAGAAAAAACAACCGTAACGTATTCGTACAGTTGAACGGCTAGAAAGCGAATGCATGTGTAAAGACTATTTTCATATCGATGAGCCACGAAAAGTGAGATAGTGTAAATGATATACTAATGAGTGTTTGCTTCACGTGTAAAATTAACAAGCATTCAAGCAGCTGTGGTTAACACATCAACACAATGAAGCACCAGGTTTAAGTATACAGTGTACAACTACATAGAATAAAAATACACAGGCATACATAAATGTTGTAAAATAATTTTAAATGCTAGAGTGAGTTCGGTTTGATACCATGGGCTAAAACAAAACAATAAGCAAAACAAAACGAGATAGAAGTAAAAACTTATTCATACAAATTATAAAATTAATTCTATTTTTTATAACTTGAAAATTCGAGTTAATAAGTTTAGACGCCAAGTTACTCGTATGTATATGAAACGGTTTCGAGAAGAAAATTTGTGGTATTTGGATTTATGAAGGCTATCATAAAGAATTTCAACAGCACACTACTGAAAGTCTTACTTCCTCGGATATTTAAGCGGTTAACGACTTTGATTGCGCTCAGGTGATGTTTATGATACTAAAACGTTAATGACATTACTCGCAGTGCACTGCCTGTTCGCGGTTATTAAATCAACACCAGGAAGTAAAAGGAGATTGTGAAATTTTCCATTATTTCTCAAGGCCTTTTTTTTAATAAGGATATCTTAGACGCGGTTACGCTGGCCAGCTCAGTCTAACGGAAGGATTTTCATGGACTATAATTTGACGAGATTAATTACGCCGCAAGGTGTTTAACGTAGAGGTAGAGATTATTACTTTTTGCCATAAGATATTTTTTCTTTATACCTCGACTGAGGTATAAAATAATATAACAGATGTTAAGTTGTGAAAAAAAGTTGAATACACATACAAGAACACAATAATTCCTTTAGCCTCATCTGATTATTTACCTGTTGGATGAGATCACAATTTTCAGATACATTGTTTAAACTACATGTACCGTTTACTGCATTCTGAGATTTGGTTGCAACATTAAAATAATATTCTATACAACTTTTTTATTATCACTGAGCTTGAATACTCAAGTGCCACGTTGATGGTAAAAATTTTTCACTCAAATAACCCTGATAAATGTAAATTTAGTGTACCTAAGGAATAAAATCAATCGCCTAATTTGAATAAAACCGGGAGAACAGTGCTCTATATTTCAGTGGACTATCCGGATATTGATCACCGGAAGAAAGTGAGGGGGAAACGAGAAACTTGCTTTTAAAGTTTAGGAGATAAGTTGATTTGGCGCTTTCACGTTAATCGAGTCGGAGGGGCAAGGGAGGGGCGGGGACAATTATCTCTTAATCGAGGGGTTTATCGGAAACTCCAACTGAGACTCTAATTTTTATATCGCGATCACTTGGCTGTCTGGTTAAATTAGCGAGCGACCCAAGCATCACTTCCGACTATCAGAGACAAAAGTAATGTCGGAGAAAATTCCAACGAAATTCCAATTTTCATCGATTCCTCTTTCAATGCCTCATCCTTACTCTGTCTCGGAATGAATTATTCATTAAAAGTTTCAGTAAAATTTTATTGGGTATACAATCATTAACTTCGATTTAGCATGTGTCACCTTTATTTTTTATGAAATTATACGCGTGATTTACGTTGAAATAAACAAGTTTTTTTTTTATGCTGTACACAGAAGAAAAAAATACTTCTGAATTATCGCAAAATTCTATACCAAAGAATAAAAAAAAGTTTCAGACACGAAATTTACAGTACTCGGGGGAGAGGTGAAATAATAACAACCACCATATACCTATCCCATAAATTCACGAACCAGCGGTAAATTAAATATCACTTAGTTCCACTCACCCAGAGTTTAAATTAGATTTTTTTTTCACCGGAGAGATAACACTTCCTATTTTCACAAGCACACCTATATAGAGGACTCGAAACGCGAGTGCCGGAGCGCGAAAATTCAGTACGGAAGGGATGCCGCGGCTGCTGAAATGTGTGCTTGTATTAGTTTGGAGCGAAAGGATGGGGCGAAGCAGTAGCATGCATATTCATGCGCAAAGCGGGAATAATTTAATTTTCGCAACAGTACATCGGTAACGAGAGCAATTACTTTGCTGCTGCTCGCGAAAACGTCTTATCGGACTGAGAAAAAAAAGGTGTGGATGAGGGAGAAGCAAAACTCGTTTTTCATTGAAATCGCGTAAAAGGCTATTACAATTGATTGCTCGTACGATATGAGAGGATGAGACATATTTTTCAACATCTCAATGACATTTTTCAAATATATTTTTAATGCACACTAAATGATCGATCTTTCGGGGTAAATTGTAACTTTAAAATGATTCAATTGAGATTTATTAGCATATGTATTTTAATTTTAATTTTCTTCAAATAAAAGCACACTAATAATGATTAAAAAAAAGAAAGAAAAAAGTTAAATGTTTTTTCCTTTGTTCCCAGTAATACTTTCAGGGCAAAATAAGTCGAAGCAAACAGAGCTACAAATTCAAGCGTACGCAGTTTGAGCGGTCCGTTTCCCTTTCCCCATCATTCGCGTCGATAGACAACAGCTGTGGAAAAAAAAACAAAAAAAAAAAAAAAACAGTGAACCTAAAACTCTTTGTTTACCGAGCTAACTCCACGCAACTGCGCGCCCTGGGTAAACACGTTGCATTATTTTTGCACAAACTGTGCCAGCGTAGCTTCCCTTCATCTCTGCACGTGTTCGCTCGCGTACACTGACCAATGGCAAGTTTGTGTAAATAGAAAATACTGACTATGCAGATATACATACCATTTTAGGGGCAAACGCTCTTTTTTCGGTATTGCTGTTCTTTGCATCATCATCAAACGTTTCTAGCATCATTATTATTATTTTTAGTATTATTACAACAGAATCTGTTCGGTTTTTACACTCAAAAGAAGTCAGAATGTTATTAGAAATAAACTGTTACCGATGAACCTAAATACAAATGATTGAACTACTGATGAGTCTAAAAACTACAGTTTTAATCAGCATTTGGTATTGTAAGTCGTCATAATTAACATTGACATAAATCGAGAGATTAACTCTATGTACGAAATCTAGAAAAAGCAGTAATTACTTCTTTGGAAGAAATAATTTCCTACCTAACGCATGTGAGGCAAAAGTGAATATACCAGGGCTGCTGAAAGCTTTTCTCTGAAAAAACACGAGATGGATTTCTTTTCATTCGAAAGAAACTTTAATGAAAATCGTATACTTCATACATCCATTAGTGAATAGATGACTGGATGATACAAGTCTTTTGTGATAAAAAAAAAACTTTTTTTGGTTGCATTTAATTAATACATTCGAGACGTTTTTAGACTTTTTAGCAATATTGACAACGTTAATTTGAATTTTTTCCAAAACAACGATTGATGTTAATAAAAAGTAATGAGGGATATTGGGAACGAATTTTTTTCTCTTATCCACAATTTCAATAAGCGTATGGGTTTACTGTCAGTAGTACGTATCAATATCTAGTCAGACGTGCGTTAATTGCTCAAATATTGCGCAGTACGGTAGACAATACTAAAAAATTGATAGTTTGTATCAATATTTGGTCAGATATGAATTATTACCCAATATATCACGGCATAACCTGAAAAAAAAAAAAAAAAAAAGATACGAAACTTTTTAATTTACGTATTATATTATTATATTTCTATGTAGAAAAAAAAATGAAGAATATTAATAATGTCAGACATGCATTGTACGACTTGAAAAAAATTAAAACTGATAGATGTTCCGTTATAACGTATCTCAAAAATCAGTAGTACATTTCAACATCAAGTCAGCCATTCGTTGAATTAATGATAAAATTTAACGTTTCACCGAGAAAAAAAAAGTTAACACACAACTATTGCACCATTTTACTATACCAGCAAGTCAGTAGTACATATCGATATCTGATCAGACGTGCAGTAGTATTTAAAATATTACGTAATTCCTTGGTATGAATAACGATTTTACAATACATTAGAAAAACGTCACTTTACGGCATCCACTAATCAGTAGTACTTGTCAGCGTCTGGTCAGCCACAACTCTTGGTCAACTATTACACGTTGTAACCGCACCACAAAAACTTTTAATACATGTACCATTTAATTATAGCCCAAAATCAGCATGACAGTAGTACATGTCAATATTTTGTCAGGCATCCCAATTAATTAAAATATTATTCTGACCAGAACTTTATAGTTACTTTTTTTGTTAATGATACCCCTTAAACATTTCTCGATCAAGTTCATGAATAAATAATAGAAGCAACCAGGACACAAGATAAAAAAATATTTGCCAATCTTCTCTTTTATATAAAATTTCAAGTAAAAGCCCCTGCGAGATTTCACAAAAAGTTTTTTCCTAACTTAAGGTCGAGCCGTAGCGATGATAGGGGCCAACTTGCGCTTCGGCATCGGGGCATCGGGCAATGTCACGTCAAACACGACCAAGGTATTCCAGTGCCATCCAGGCGGCGTCGCGGAGGCAACGGTGATTTTTAGCCTCGGCACCATGGGGATGGGCGCCAACATCATGCTCATGGCTCTTATACTCGGCAAAAAATCTCTGCGCAGGTTCGTATGCGTGCACATGTTAACCATCACCGTTTTTCGTAAAAAAAAATAAAATTAATTTTTAACTCAAGGTGGTCGCAAGGCTTGCTGTTTCACCAAGCGCTGGTGGATTGCGCGAGAGCGGCTATACTCTTGCCTCTGGGCTCAAGCATACTCAACTGTCAGCCGGTCAATAAGTGCTCGCTTGTCGAGACGGCCTTCCTCCTACTCGTCACTGTTTCGACCGTCAATATGCTGACCACTGTATTGAACGACAGCCCCGTGTTTGTCGAGGACAATGACGAGGACAGCGATATTGCTGCGCCTATTCTTATGGACTCGCCACAGGTGGATTCCGAAATCCAATTAATCAAAAAAAAAATTTTTTTTCTTTGTTTAATCGAAAATTTTTGAAAAAGAAATACATACCTATGTATCTATATTAGTGTTTGACCCCAACCGGAATTTCATCACGAGACAATAATACGCTGCGACGTACAACGAAGACTTGCGTTGAAGTAAATGGTTAAAGTGAGGATACATTACGTTGAATTTTTAGTGTGTCGCGATAAAGTCTCTTGGATTGTATTCAAGTAAGCGACGCATCGAAAATTTTTCTCGACTTTGTGACGTACAAACTCTCAAGTATATTATTCAATATCCTTATTTCGGGATGGTATAGCCTGATTTTCATTTCAAATGAAGGAAACGAGACATAATTTACAAATATTTCCTTTCAAATTAGCAATTCCAAGTGTCTCGTATGTTTAAATCCATTTTTATCATTACAATGCAAACTCGCCAAGAAATTTGAGCTTGAGCCAAAAACTCCCGTTTCAAGCTTACTTCCCGGAATTACCAAAAAAGGGGTAAAAAGTACCCCAATGTACGCACATCGAACGCTTTCGCATGTCCCATTATCGTAAACTTCCCAAAGTCCAAAATTACAATTTGCTACACTAATAGCCCTGAAAATTTAAATGAAAGAAAAAAAAAAAAAAAATTAATCCGCAGTGCGTGATTTTCGGCACGTTCATGATCTGGTTCGCGAGCATCACGATAAACCTGGGCCCGACCTTCCTGAGCGGTGCGCTGGCAGCCAACACCGAGTCCGGCTACAACGCGCCGAGCTGTCCCCTCGTCCATGGGCCCTTCCGCCACTACATACTCAATCTTCTCTGGATCTTCATCAACATCATCTGCGTTGCGCTCACGCTCTTTCACCTCAGGAAGCTACACAGGGACCTGACCAAGCCAAACGTCGAGGCAGTACGTATACCATTTTTTTCTCTCTCCCTCACACTTTTGCGAGTTTCGAACGAGAAAGGCTTCGTCAAACTTTCGAGAAATTCAATTAAAACCCGAGCACCGCTCCTTGACGATTTCAACCTCGCTCGCGTAAATATCTTCCGCGAGAGTTTAAACGAACTTCCAAAGTCCCCGTAGTTGTGTTGTTATCCTTGGAAAATCTAACTTATACCATTGTCAAACCGCACGAAAACTAATTCAAGTACTGTCCGCGGTTTTGGTTCGATGAGTATTCATGATCAGCCGTCAGTTGCTGAGCGTTTGTTTAACTCGCAAGCGCGACTAGTACGGCAAACTTTAAGGGCCGGGTAAACAAATCGTTCGCTCTCGCGCGATGGGAGGGAAAATAATCAACCAAGTGAATGACGACGGGAAAATTACCACCGAACAAAATCTGCGACGCGGCACGAGGAAGACACGTTAAAAAAGCGTGTGATCCGCAGCAAGACAGTTAAATGTAAAACTTTGGGGTAACTTAGGTGCGAGTGACTGGCCTCGTGACTACACTGGTCAACGTGACGGGTGGCCACGGGGGTGGTGTAGGCAGTCATCCTGGAGGCACTAACCCTCACAGCGAGCACGGCTCGGCGGTCGATCTTAGAAGGAGCAGCGGTACACCCAAGGTGAGTGACTTTTTTTTGTGTCGATTGTACACCATTACCCTTAACTAGCTCGATTTTTTTTTTTTTCGGAGAGCAAGGGGGGATTGAAAAAGGGCCAAAATGCAAGAGTCAGAGATTTCGAGAATACAGAGTGCGTGTTTTAGTGTAAAGAGGGGGCGAACGATAATTAACAGTGGCCCAGTTCCCACGAGTGAAATAGTACAGTGAACTCCGAGCGGTAAAATGGTAATTTTTGTGCGGTAACGTAACAGGGGGGGAGGAGGAGGGGCAATGCGCGGAGTTTTTGAAAATAATCAATCGGTTTGTTTCATTTGCGCTGCTGATATCCAAGCGCGAGCAGAGTTTAATTTAGGTAATAAAATGTGCTGACGCCATCTGGTCTTTTGATCAATACCGTGAAAAAGCGATTGAATTTATCCGTGTTTTATTTTATGCACGAGCTGAAAGTGCGTTTGTGGCTCGAAAAATTATTGGAATAATTTTTTTGCTGAAGTTGTGAAACGAAACAGTAATTTATGACATTTTTCGAGTGCGTATTTTTATAATGATTTTTTTACCCTCAATATATAGAGTTGTGACTTCCAAAAAAGCACTGGAAGTTGAATACATATCGTAGACACAAGAAAATTGCTGCAAATCATTTGTTGTATACAATTTTGAAGTATCGAAATTCGATCTTTTATAGTTAAGGATAAAACAAAGCAATAAACAAGGGGAACGTTCGTTGTATCCACGCAAGAAAAGTTCCCCTCCACCTTGAGAATAACAAAAAAATACTCGCAATTACAGAGGATAGGCGCGCTGGAGGAGCACCGCAAGATGAGGAACTACCTGCGGCGAATAGAGCGCGACGGTGTCCAGCGAGTGAAGATGTTTCTCGTCATCACCGCGGCTTACGTCATATTCTGGGGTCCTCTGTTCTTCGTGACGCTTGTGCAGCACCCGGCCATCGGTAATCCTACAGGATACGAGGTACGTACGATGAAAACCTGTGCCGTTGAGTGGTTTTTCTTTATTTTCAGCTCACGATCTCGGGATATTAAATTATTGACGCTCGTCGTGAGCTTGACGTGGATTTGTGTGTATCGTGTGTGCGTTCCTGTTGCTGTTGGTAGGGGTAGTGATGGTCGAGATTAATGTTTTTTAGGCAGAACTTCGTGTCAATTCACGTTGTTAGAATTTATTTTTTATATATTTGGTATTACTGTTACTTCATTGGGGAAAGTTAAGTTTTGACATTGTTTGATTTAAAACTGGCTACACCGAAATCTCATTATATATTATTTATTTAGTTACGAATCATGACACTATGCAAACTTGAAACCCATTAAAAGTTTCATTATTCAACATCTCGTAATCGTCGATAACATTTTTAGGAGAAAAAAAACCTATCGTCAACTTTTACCCATAGACGTATAAGTTTAAACCAAGGGGCGAAAAGTTTTGAAAAGCGAAAAAATGATCAGAAATTTTATGACCAACTCTGATCGTCCAATCCAGTACCGTAGCAAAGACAATCGCATCTCGATGGCTCACTCAACACTCAAATAACACCTCACGGAATCAGATTTTGATCCTTCAATCACTAAAGTATGTCAAGTTGACCGGGTCATAGAGACAAAGGTTGCAACTCCCCTCTAAAACAAAAAAAAAGGAAACACGTCTTGCACAAAGCGCAGAAAAAACTCCGTCGCTTAAAGCTGATGAAAACCCTTCACCAAAGTCAAATACCTCAAACCCAATCAACGCAATCGCCAAACGGAGTCTCCCCCTCCAATCATATTCATCCCTTCGCGTTCAACAAACCCCGTGGTCGGATCCTCAAACTAGAAGCGTAAACACCTAAATCACCGCTGCACCGCGAAATCTGTCCCTCATCCCACTTTGAATCCCTTGGAAACAGCAGATAAACAACAACACCGGCAGCAAATAAGAGATCTAGGACCCACGCAGATATCATATGATCGAACACGCGTCTATCCCAGTTTTCCGGGACACATAGGTAATACACGGAAAAAGTTGGGCGTCGAAAACACACCGTCGTCCACCACACGTTCAGATTTGTACGCGAGCCTCCCGCAGCGATCGACCGCAATAAATTCCACCGCGTGCGCCCCGCCGTGTAAATTTACGCCTCGGCCCGGCGGAGCCCATTTACTATACACTATAGTGCATATACGTGTGTTTTTGCGCTCGCCCGTGCAAAGCGTGGAAAGAAGAGTTTTCGATCGAATTTGTAAAATCTACGCAGCTTCCCTTGATTCGGATTAGCCGTTTACTTACCGATTTTTCACTCAGCCTCGCGACACAAACGCTCGTACGAAAAGAGCGAAGGGTGAAAAAAAAAGAAAAAAACTTTTACGACCACAGCCGTGGAGAAAGAGAGAGAGATCATACCGTGTAGTCGTGTAAACCGTGAGCACAGCCAAATGGATTTGTTTTCGCATCGCTGAAACTTAACTTGTGCACCTATATACAGCGTCGCTGTAACCGAAACTTTATAATTGGAGTTCAACGAAATTCGTACACAAGAAAGTTGGCTGCTGTCGTTTTGCCGGGCTAATTAAAATTCTAACCGTCCCGGGAGACAGAGGGAAAAAAAATAGTAATCACCGGTACGGTCGGAAACTCATTAAGAAGCCCATTAAATCACACGAGTTTTTATGAGGTACACGATTTTACACAGTCCGTAAGTTTATTGGCGCGTCGAAATGAGCGATGTATCATGTCCAGGGGAGCAAATTTCCGGGCAAGCGGCTGCACGACCGATAGAAAATCCGGCCGATGAATAATTAATGGGGAGGAGGGGGGGAGTGCGGCGCACGACGCGAATGACAAATAACCTGGTTATCCGGGCGCGCACGGTGTTTTCCTCAAAGTGACGCTCCTTCGAGGCGCGGCCACGACACGGGGAGTTGGTTCTGGTAAACGTGTGTTAAATTGACCATTAATGGGTACTTGTAAGCGAGATTACCTGCAGGCATGACTCGGTCATACAGGTGCGACGGTGGAGGTACTTGGGCGCTGAAGCATTTACGGAGTGTCACGGGTCGATGGGTATTAGATGAAGGAGCTCATGCATACAAATGCGATTGGTTCGCGTATCTTAGTGAAGTTATTCGATTGAGAAAAATCCGAGAAAAAACAATACGTGAATGCTTGTGTACAGGTACGATGAAATGTTGTTTGTTTAAATAAGAGTTTGTACACGTGTGTACAGCTTACCGCCAGCAAACGGATTAGAAGTTGTGCAGACCGTTCGTATTTGTGTTAATTACTCGTGCAAACCCAATTAATTACCACGTAGTTATCACGATGCGTTATTTGAGAATCGTGTGTACCACGTTTGGTTAGAGAATAAAAATAAATTTATAAAAAAATGATAAACAATTTACTTTCGAGAAATACAACGTATTACCCTTTTAAAATCCATCGATTGTGCAGGAAAAAATTTGTCCCTTGATAACTCCGATAGCTCCATCAAATGAATTAAAACGGAAATGGGTATCAACACCTACGCGAGTGTATTCCGCAAACGATACCTCGGTAGTAAACCGCGCACTCGAGCCGAGCAATTAAGTAGTTTCGCACGCGGTTAGGTCAGACGCAGCCGCAGACGGAACGCTTTACCGATACCAACTGTAATGTATATATATATATATATGTATACTAGCTACTCTCGGAGTGCTTGGCTTCCACAAACTATTAGCACCAATCAGAGATCGGTGGACAAAGTCGACCACAAGAGTTTTATTATTATTATTTTTTTTTTTTTTCCCATAAAAATCCGTCTTCCCCAGGTGACGCTGCACATCGCCTACGTGCACGCATTCGTGAACCCAACGCTCTTCCTGACCCTCCACCGAGGCCTGCGCCAAGGGATGACGGACGTCTGTTGCGGCTGCTGCGAGAGCTTCGCCCGCTGGATCCTGGGCGCGACGGCACCCCCGGCCAGTCCGATGCTGCACCGGCACCCACCCCCACACTACGAATCGGCGCTCAGGGCCGCCTCGACCCCGGAACTCCTGCCCCACATAGGCTCGGGTTGGACTCCGATGACCCCGAGCAGGATCCACCAGACGGCTCACGCGGGCAGTGCCTGCGACCTCAGCGACGTGGCCATGCTCAAGGCGCCCTTACCCCCACAGCCGAAGCACCATCACATGGTAAGGACGCTGGGGACTGGCACCACGGTGCAACCCACGTTTTGTCTTTTTTTTTTTTTGGCTTATTTTATGTATAGTCTCTGGCTGCGCGTAGGTATTGAGCTGTTTAGCCGAGGACCAAGGTTGTTTTCATCAGACTCGGATACGCGAAAGTGTTTTTTTTTTTTCCCCTTTTTTTTTCATCCCCCAACACCGTGCGGATGATAGAAAGCAAAACAAATCCCATTAGCTGTAGATCGCAGTTGGCTTTGCACTCTTGCTACGATACATAGTTAATTAGTGAAAAAAGGCCGCATCTGATCGCATTGGTTAGTGAGAGAGACATGAGAGAGAAACTATTTATTTTTGGTTTCGTTCGTTGGGATGTTTTTTTTTTTTTTTTTTTTTTTTTTTTTTTAAGAAAATGACTATTTTTGGAATTTTATTACTTTCTAGCTTCTTTAACCTGAGGCAGTTCGCACTTGACGAAAGCCAGCGTCATTAAAATGCCTCCTTCTCCTCCCACTGCAAATGTACATAGGTATTGCCATTTATTTATTATTTTAATTTTATTACAATCAGAACACGTTTCTTTTCATCGATGGCCAATTGAATTTTTTTTCGACAAAAGCAACAAAATTGTTGGATTGATTCGCCGTGATTGGGGATATGGAATAAATGAGAGATAAATTCACGGAGGTGTAAGCTTTGACGAAGCTATTTTTGTGTATAGTTATCGATGATTTTGGTGTCTCAAATGTGGAATACATTGCGAGTCGAGTGAATGGAAAAATAACGAGGAAAATGCATGAGAAACAAGAGAGCACGGATAATTAATTGTCTCGAGCTTTTAAAATGCAAATAATTAGGCCGAGGAGAAAATAGAGTGGCCAATCGGGAATTTTTCATCAACGAGTACTGAGTGGCCTCTTTTTCTTTCATTTTTGCACAAACCCGATATACTGTGAAAACAGCTTTCCGAGTACGATGGGAATATCCCGGGTTTGGGAAACCAGATTTGGGTACGGTTACTTTGTGCAATTTTTTTACATTTGAATTTTTTTTCAAACAATTTTTCGTTTAAAAAACCAGTTTAGTGTTTTTTTTTTTTTTTTATCACTGTTAACAGTACAATTTTTCCAACAAAAATATAATTTGAAAAAGAAAAAAAAACGATGTACAACAAAATACCTGAATATTTGTTGAAATACTTTGTAATTAAATTAATTCTCTAAAAATGTAGATTACCAAAACTATTCATTGTTGAGCATCCGGACACTGTTTTATTAAATTTTTTTGTTTTGTTTTCAAGTACGTAAACTTCCATATGATAATTAAGTTCAAGTTTGCAGAATCTGTAAAATCCCCCTCAACTTCGAATAGCTAGTATAGCTACAGAAAGGCAGTCGAATTTCTATCCGAAAAAAAAAAGAGTCGCTCTAACAGTTTTCTTTTAACCAGAGCGAGGTGCCAGACCCCTGGAGTCTACCCTCGTCCCGACCAAAGAGCACACTGAGCCTACACGCCGAGTTATCACTGAGCAGGCCGAGCTTGCTACTTCCGCCTCCGCCTGAACTGAGCGACCAGCACCTACAGGCGGCGATCAGCCCGACGAGCAGTGACCCGCAGAGCGAGTGACGTCAGAGGGCCAGCAGCGAGTCAGCCGCCCGCGATGAAAATCGACGCCTCAGGCCGGCCCTCGTGCGCGAGGGATTACTCGATTTGGTCCAAGCTGGCGGCAAGGCTGCTGGGATGGCTGCTCCTTGAAGCGAAGGATTTCGCTTTTACATGAGAGTGATCTGGTCTTTTTTTTTTTTTTTTTTTTTTTACTGCTACAAAGCTTTGAGAGGGAGATTTTTGTTTGTAGGGACGTGCTCAAGTGTCAACGAGGGACTATTGCGGTCGAGGTCTTGCGATGTGGTTGCCAGAGTTTTATTATTTTCTTGGAAATTTTTTGGTTTGTTTTTACGAGTCAATTACGTTAGGATTAATTGGTGGTAGTCAATCGAAATTTCCTTTTTTTTCCTCATCGCATCGATTGAAACTATAGCGAATGTAAATCACATATCAAGTAGTAAATTGAAGGACGTACGATACTAAATTAAAAATCACTAGCAAGACCCATCGCCTTTTCTGTGTGAATGAAAAACACAATTTTCCAATACAGTACGATTTAAGCAAATACTTATTTGCCGACTGAAATTTTTCGTGTGTTTTAACTGACGATGTTATTGATCGCAGAGTAAATTTGTGTTACTTTTATCCTCGATACATCCATCATTTTGTTTATCATTATTTGTAGTATGATTTTTCTACATTAAGAGCATTATAATTAATTATAAATTTGTGAAGAAAAAAAATTTAATTATAAAAAAATTTGAGAAAAACTCATCCAAACTTTGTAATACGATTATAATATTATACCTACTATAAAATATTATCAACTTCAGACCTACGATTATCAACAAACCATTAAAAAATATACTAAGCAGTTTTATCTATTATAAAATAAAAATAAACACGTAAATAAAACTTAAATAAACAAACAAATGTAACTTTGTCTGGGAATACTCAAAGACCACGTTCTAATTGTATCTGTGATTGAATAATTCGTTACGTATGACGTTTATTCGCTTATTAATCAGGGTCTTCATCTCAACGAACACAAAGAATTTTTTTTCTTTCAATGGAACTTTTGATATGTTTACTCTTACGTTAAACCCAAAATTAATATTTACATTGTTTAAACAAAAAAATGTTTCAATAAATGCAATTTAGCTTTTTTATTTTTTCATACAGACACGCGAAACAAAGTAAAAAAGTGTTGAGTAAAATTAAATTAATCGTTTCAAATTACATTTTTTTTTTCAATACTTGGGTGTGACAAAAGTGTACACATCAGTATTATGAGAGCAAAAAAAAATTGGTGTAGAAAAATTTATTCTGCAGTTGGATCAATCCAACGTTAGTTTCGTGTACTGAATAGATTTTTCCTGAATGTTTGTATTGTAAAAACGAAGTAGATATTTTACAGTGGAATCAATGGTACTCGTATTAAAAAATAGTCAAGTATAAATATTATGTGGATTATTGATAAAGGATACGAATAAAGTAGCTCTTTGTAAATATTATCGAGCTTACAATCGAGAAGGAAATTTTGTTAAAAAATTGAATGTTTATGATGCGAAAAATCACTTCAATCCAAAGAAATCCTTTCTATTTCTTTTTTCGCTAAGGACAATGTAATTTTAATAGGAACGTTGAAACGTATAAACTATTAGAAAGATGAAAGTGTAATTACCATGTCAACAAAATTTATAATTTTAAATACAAATGATGTAAGGTTATAAAAAAAAAGTTAATAGCGCAGTCAGAAACGTAGATCGCAATCATCGAGTAAATACTTGTACACGATCAAGTAAGTAAATATAAACGTATTAAAGTCTTTGTAGAATAAGGTGTGAATACTTTTATAGATGTAAAAAGATATAGAGCACTTTGTTATTGAGTTATAAATTGTTTATTGCTGTTTACGACTAGAATACATTATTTATATGTAGGAAATAAATTTCAGATTGTAAATTTATTTTTAGAAAAGTATCATCGAATTAAAAATTTTTAATTTATAAGTAATATAAGGAATAAACATGCGGAGACAACTTATGTATACCAATCGACGTTTACATGTATTTATATAAGAAATGTTCAGGTCTCATAAATAAAAAAAGTATTACGATCCAACTCGATAAAGCATCAATAGTTCCTTCAATTAAAAAAGGATAGTGTTACATTCGAAAAAAAAAAATAATAAATAAATAAAAATTAATGCACTGAATTGTAAATAATTTTTAAAGTTTCGAGATTTTTTATCATTTTACAGCACAAGAGTCGTTAAACTGTGTACGATTATATAATTTTGTTGGAAAATTTGTTACGTGATTAAAATTTTATGTTAAAATAGTATTACTTACCTATTTTTTTTTATATTGAAACATTTATGTATAAATAAATAAAGTTTATCGTGTCTTGAAAAATGTATTCAGTAAAATATTTATATAAAAGCCAAAGAAAGCAATCTCGCCGTGGCCAATTTAACTAAAGTGTCAAACTTAATAAAAGTCGTGAAAATCTAAACCAAAAAAACGCTTAAAAAAGAAAAAAGAAGAATCAATTGTAAATTAAATGTAGGCAATTGAGAAATAGTGCATTAAAAAATAAATCAGGCCGTGCCGTGCGACATTCATATATTTACCTACTTGTGTATGTGCGTTGTATTATATAGTGTGTACGTGTAACAATACATACCGGTGAAATCGTTTGTTTTTGTGCGCTTCATTTTTTACATTATCCGAAAAACAAGCGAATTAGAGCTAACGCAGCTGCTAAGTGCTAAAAAGAGAGAAAGAGATGATTGCCACAGGAATAATTGTAAAACAGTCCGCCCATCGGAGTCTCATTGCATGTCAAGATAATTATTGTCAATTACCAATCAGCGAATTGTCGTATACGTGTGCCATTTTACTAAAAATTAACAATTGGTAATGATGGGGAAAGTGTCTAACTTGCAACGAAAAATAGTAAAAACGCTTTGGAGTTAAGCTTAATAATTTTTTTCTTTTACCACATGAAGGACACTTTATAAGTTTCAAGAATTGATAATGTCCATTTATTTGTTACGATTAACCATTTTTTAAAATTAATTTAATAGTGTAACTGCCATGAACGTATACATGGGAATTTTAACTGTCTAAAAACTTTGCAACGTTACATTTTCTAACGTTGATAATTGATTCAATCACGACATTGTTTTCGTAAGAATTCAAAAACTAAGGATTTTAGTGTATTCATGTTATTTAATTGGATAAAAAAATAACAACATTTTTTAACTCGCTAAAATATTTTTTTTTTCCATCTGCTTATAAGCATGGCTATAAACTAGTACTAATAATGATAATGATGTAAACGAATTGTGCCTAAAAATATCGAGATCTAAACAAAAAAAAAATAAAATAAAAAAACGTGTAAAACTTAAGAAAGCAAAAAATAACTTGTACGACTTGGTATTATGTTTCTGTAGAGATTAGTGTACAAGCATAAGCTAAAATAATGTTGATTATCACAGAAAATAAAAGTTAGTGCGAGCGAAATGATGTGTATGATAAAGCGAAATAACTTAAACGATTATATACGTGTATAAAAATAAAGTGTACATAAAATATTAATTAGTACGTAGCATTTTTTTCTCACTCTCCTACATTATTTATATTAAAATTTAAAAGAAACTAGAGGGACACCACGACGGACAGACATTGCCAGCACCAACAGAATTTGGCTGCAATTTATGCGCAAACTGCTTTCCCGTTTTCGAGGCAGTAAAGTACCTCTGACTAAATTATTATCAAGGTATGAGTGCAGAAATCTCGAAAATTCTGTACGCAAAATTGCAAAGTGCCAAATTGTGTAAATAAAAGTGACGAAACAACAAAACAAAGTACAAGCGCCTACCTGTTCAAAGCCGCCCAAGATTTCTGTGGTGTCCATCGCCGAATGCACAGCAATCGATTTTAATTTCTGGCCCGTGATTTGAGAGAGAACGCGCACTACACTACTCTTTCCGCTTCCAGATCCGCCCACCTGAAAACCCATGTCAATTTTTCAACACTTAATTATTGAAATACAAACGAGTTTAAATAAATAAACAATCATCTTACCAGAATCGACATCCAATTCATCTTGACGCACTGAGCGACACTTCGAAGAGCTGGCATTTGGTCGCGTAATAGTAGCAGATTCGGATCACTATATGTCAAAGTGACGGTCCTTTCCAAAGCCACATCGCCAAAGTAAACGTTTGTATCAGTGACGTTTACCGTGGCTGAGGGCAACAGTGGATACTTCTCTTCAGAGAATACTTCTTTGTACATTTCTTTTACCTGAGAGAACCAGATGAAAATTGTCACTAAAATCTAATCCACTACAGTACAAACTGGTAAAAGGCAATAATTCATACCTTATCCTTATCATCCTTGGATCTCATTCTGTCAACGTAAATCAGTTCGACCGCATTTCCGGGGTTGTAAACTTTTTTGCCAGTCTGATCAGTTTCGGCAATTGCAATCATAGCCTCGCACCATCGGCTCACGTCACGGAGATTCATCTCCCACGGAGCCCCCGAGAAGCCCCAAGAAACTCCAGCCTCTTTGGCCAGCTTCGAGTTGAATTTTATCATAATGTTGATAAGTTCTTTATCTATGTCGGGGTACTGAGAGGCGGCTATGAATTCCAAATCGGCGTCCGTTAGCGCGTCCACGTAAACTTGGGTGAATCTGTTGAGAAATGATTTCGGCAATCCTCGTCGAGCCCCGCCTTGTCTTAGTGGATTTTGACAGGCAAAAAGCTTGGTTTCCGACTTTACAGTGAAGGTTTTTCCTGTGACATATAAGCAAATTGTTTTAGCAAATCAGTACTGATGAAAAAAAAAAAAAAATGGATAAATAAATAAATGACAGCATCTCACCCAACTCTGGAATATAGACCTCGCCTCGATGGTCAAAGCACGCGTTAAGACCCTCCAGCACGGACTGCGAGGCTAAATTCAATTCGTCGAGAAGTATCCAGTGTCCGGCTTTCAGAGCTCGCAAGAAAGGACCGTCCCTCCAGGCGAACTCGCCACCTTTGCCACCTTCGACCGGTAGATCGGCTCCAAACAAATCCGAAATGTCAGTTTGGTCGCTAAGATTTATTCTCAAGCAAGTGTAGCCAGCTGCTCTAGCCAAGGCCGAGACGAGACTCGTTTTTCCCACACCTGGACTACCCTCCAGCAAGATGGGTTTGCGCAGTTGCAAAGCCCGCAACAGTTTCAAACTGTTGTCTTTGGTTGTGGGAGCGTGGAACGTAAAGGGTACACTGTCGTCGACGGCTACCGAGCCTCTGTCGATGTAAAACGGCGCTATGCCGTACATCGCGTCCAAAGACTGGGGCAATTCTAGATCTAAATCCATGGTATCCTCGGTAGAAGTCGGATTGAGGATTTGCACTTGGGTTTGCAGAAACTCAAAGGCGTTCTCCTTAAAGAGTTTCAGTTTTTCGGCACTTTCCATGCTAGTCAGGCCAGATCCTAAGCTGTCGATGTACGTAAGAGAAGCCCCGTGGTAGTAGGCGTCGCAAAGATTCAGGTTAAATACCTTTTTTCTATCGGTGCACACGTTGATGAAGTTCACCCAGCTGAGTATGTCCCGAATGCTGACAGTGAATCTCTTGCCAACGTCCGACTGCGCGAGCCACTCGACGAAATTTAAAATGCACTCGGCCAAATCGGTCTTTTTGTTTTTTACCTGCTTGGCGAGGTTGTGCTCGATGATGGCCCGTAGATCGGCTCGTTCGGTACACCCATCGCACCAGATCTCGGTAAAACGATTTCTCAGAGCGGGTGACAGTTCCTTCTTGCCGTAGTCACCGCCTGGATTCATCGTACCGATGAAGAAAAAGTCGTCGTGGGCGATGATCGTGTTGCCGGTGCCCTTGAAATCATCCACGTCGTCGATTCCCTTTTCCGCAAGCAGGAGGCTACGTTCAGGTTCCAGCAAGGAGTTTAGTCTCTCGAGTACACTGTCATCGGCTAACGAAATTTCGTCGGCCAAGAAAAAATCGCCCTCCATCATGGCCTTGATCAAGGGACCGTCCACCCACTCGAACAGCTTTTGAGTCTCATTGTCGTTGCTATCGCGACTTCTCACCGGTCGCAAGTTGCCCAAAAAGTCGGACGATTCGGTGTGCATGTGGCAATTAACAGCAAAGAGTTTCTTGTTGTTCATGTGCGAGATCAACTGGCAGATGGTCGTTTTCCCACCACCAGTCTCGCCGACTAGCAGAACTGGCTCCTTGAACTGGTAAGACTTTCTGACGAGCACGGCCATTCGGCGCATGTGATAGGTCCAAACAACGTGACCAAAGGCCGAGGAATCTTGACGAGATATCGCTTCCAGGATTGGTTTGGTCACTGGCGAGGTGTTGTCGTTGAGCGTGAACAAGTTGTCCGGATTCACGTCACGCTTCAAGTGTGTCTTTATTACTTGTCTGAAAGAGAAAAAAATGCTCAGTAATCACGTAAACATGACATGACAAAGTGTAAAATGATAAATCTACCCACCTAATTTCCTCAGCCTCCTCGGGCCTCCGCACTTTGGCAGCCAAGACGAGGTAGCCCTCGTCCGCCAAGTGCTGTTGCCAGTCGTACAGCCTGTTTCTCGGATCCGGCGCAAGCCGGTACCTCTCGCCCCATCGGAACAGATCGCGCAGCGTGATGAAACCCTGCTTACCGGCAAACGCGGCCGTGTTCTTTCTCCGTACCTGCAGGTCCTGCATGACGGCGATGATGAGTTTGCAGTACGAGGGTGACAGGCTGCAGCGCTCGTGGAGGATGACCTCGAGCTCCGAGGATGGGATCTCGTCAAAGTGCAGCTCGACGAACCGATTGCGGAACGCGCGCGACAGCACCTTGCGGCCGCCGTACGAGCCCGGAGGGTTCTGCGTCGCGAAGAGCATAAAGTTCTCGTGAGCTCTGACGGTCTCTTGAGTTTCCGGGATGAAGAGCTCCCTGTTGTCGTCGAGCACCCGGTTGAGCGCTTCGAGGACGTCACTGGGTGCGAGATTTAGCTCGTCGAGGATGATCCAGTAGCCTTTTCGCATCGCCTCGACCAGGATGCCCTCACGGAAGACAAGCTTGCCGGAGTCATCGGCGACGTAGCTACCGACGTACTCCTGCAGATCGGTATGCTCGTGGTTATTGATGCGCACGCAAACGTGGCCCGAGGCTCGGGCTAGGTACGTTATGAGGCTCGTTTTGCCGACTGACGTGTCGCCCTGCAGGAGGATCGGCATTTTACCGATCGACACGACGCGCGCTACGTCTCTGAGGTTGCGTCTCACAGACTCGGTTAGAATGTAGTTCTTGGGGATTTCGGGTTCTAGGCTACCTTGGATCACCCAGTAGCCCTCAAAGGCAATGTAGTCATCGTTTGGTCCACATCTGCGATAAAATTAATACAGTTTTTAAGAGAACAATGAACTTATTACGTAAATAAAAAGAATTAGACGCATCTTACTTTGGTTTCATGATCGGCGCCTTTAACAGAGCTTGAGCATTTTTCTTTTCCAATATGGCTTCGACGATCATTCTCTCGACGATGGGGTATGATTTGTGGTCCAGCTGTGTCAGGAAACTCAAACAGAATGCCTCGTACAACGACCGAAGCACGTTACCGCAAGGATTGGCAGCGGCGACACTCAAGGCTCGACACAGCGTTCTCAAACTGTAGTGCGGCTTGTGCGCGGTACCGTCGAACAGAGTCCACGTGGCTTCTTGGCGCACGTTCAGGTAGAACTTGACGATGGCCTCCTGTTTGGCGGCAGGTAGGTTCAACTCTTCGAGGTACGATCCGACGAGGAGTTGCAAGTCCACGTGCTCGGTCAGCTCGTCCACGTAGAACTCGGTGAATCGGTTGCGCAAGCCGACGGGCAGTTCTTTCTTGCCAACGTCGGTCGCCGGGTTCATGCAGGCGAATATGGTGAAATCAGGATGGCGTGCTATGGCTTCTTGATCGCCGCGTTCCAGCAGAGACAAGGAGCCCGACGAGCCCTCGAGTAGACCGGAGAGGCACTCCAGAGTCTCGGCGTTGGCGAGATTGATCTCGTCGAGCAGGACCCAGTGACCTTCTTTCAAAGCCTTAATCAAGCTCCCTTCGATAAAAGCGAAGGCCAACGAGAGCTGGCTCTTCACTTGAGCCGCCAGTTTTCTCAGCTTGGCAGCCAGCTGGTCCCACTTTCTTAGAGTCTCGCGGCTCTTGTCTTCCGGCTCGCTGATGCTTGAAACCTTTGACCTGAGTCGCTTCAAAGCAGCACCCGTACTGGTATTCATCAGCGCGACGAGGGTCTTCCATTTGCTTTTGGCGAAGCAAGTGCCAATGTGTTCCAGGAATTTTTTGTTGGGCTCGACCGCGAAGAATGAGCGAAACAGGATCTCGAATTCCTCGCGAATGGGAGAAATGAGGATCTTCAAGTCGACAGGCTTGTAGCCACCGAGCAGGTCAGCGCTCTCGCTTTGCTGGTTCATGTTGATGACGATCAGCTTGTGACCTGTGCTGCGGGCCAGGTACTGAACGCAGCTGGTTTTACCAGTGCCGGTCTCGCCGACGAGCAGTACTGGCTCGTTTTGAGCTACACAGCAGCTGATGCGCTCGAGCAGGCAGGCGGATGGTCGAGTGAACGAGAATTTGGCGGTGCATCGCTCGAGAGATAATTGCTTGGCTTGCTTGCGTTCCAGTTGACAACGACTGCTAGTGAAATATTTTGCCGAGAGGCTGATCGAGGGCTTGTATGTTCGGCAAAAATAATCGGCTTGCATTTTAACGATGCCGAGTTTGTTACAGATCTCCGTTGCTAAGACTAATCTGTGATCTGAAAGAGTATGAAAACTTGAATTGTTTGCGTGAAGATGTGAAAAATTAATTCAATTGCATTTTGTTGACGAATATATTTTTACCTTGAAATGGCACAGAGCAACAGAATATGTCGATGGCGTCTTGAAGTAATTTAAGAGCAGAATCTTTGGAGGAAACGTTGAAGCCGTTAACAGCTCTGTGACACCATTTTATTAGATCTCTGGTGGAAATTAATCTTCCTGTTTTTAAAACAGCAAGTTCGTCGTCTTCATCATTATCGGTATTATGATTGCCTACAGAAAACAACAAGAAAACGTCCACGATCTTAGAAGCAAAAGTATTCAATACTGGGAATAGAGTTTGGACAATTGTAATCAATTCTTTTTTCGACAGCGACTCCATGTTAATGCACAGCCAGTGTTTTTCCAACAGACTACTGGCTCCGGATGACTGACGTTGGAAGCCGGACATTGTGGGGATCAATCTCTGCGTGACAAACAGCTGAAATCCACTGTTAACGTGAACAGTGTCTTTGTATCCAGGAACAGACAGAGTTCCAGTTTCCATGACATTACTCAAAATGCTAGCAACGTCTAGTGCAGCACTGTCTATATCCTCCAGAAGGAGCCACTTTCCACTTGCTACTGCCTGTGTGAGCACACCAGCCTGCCACACAAATTCTCCAGGGATATCGGTGCATCTGTAAGTCCCCAGCAACATTTTTGAGTCAGTTTGATCTCCAAGCTGTACTTTAATGAAATTGGATGGCCAGTGATTAGTTATTTTGGCCAGGTATTCAACGATGGCTGTTTTACCGCAGCCAACTGCACCTTGCAGGCAAATGCATTTTCTTGAAGCCACTCCAAGAGCCAAACTGCGCAAGTTTTCTTCCATTGATGGCACAGGAATTAAATCACTATTTGTATATCGGGTTTCCTTGTTTAAAACTGGTAATAAGACTCCAGCAACAGAAACGACAGATGAAATATTTTCAGCCATGTCATTTAACTCTTTAGTACACGATGTTTTTTGTAAGCAGACGTTTGTGTCATTTCTTCTTGTATCCAATTCAAATTTATCTGTATCGCTCAGCAAAGTTTTTGCACACTTCAACTGCAAAATTTCTGACATTTCTAGCACCAAGCCAATGCACTTTAAAGCAAGCCTATAAACAAATTACACATTTTTAAAATAATCATTTCACTAGAATCATTGGAAAAATTGCCCAAATAGTATTTTACATGTATTACCATTTCACATCATCTTCTTTATGTGACAAATATTTGTAAAACTTTGACCACTTCCACTTGTATTTAAAATGATTGGTGGAAGCTTGCAAAATATTGAAAGTTGCCATAACAATTTCATAATCAGACACACGGTTATAGACCCCATCGAGTTTTGGCCTTTTAAGCTTGGGTGGCTCAAAAGTATCACTCTCTGGATTTTCAAATGGAGAAGGATTCCTTTCGAAATATTGTAGTGCAAAACTGAAAAAACCAAATTACACATTTTCATAATTTTTAATCCAAAAATTTGGACAATTGCATGATTTTTCGTGACACAACATAGAAGTTGGAGCACCTACCCAAGTACGTCAGGATGTATTAATATCAATTGACCAATGACACAGCAATTGATCTTGTGCACTTTGTCATCGGATGCGCTGAAAGTGCCCTTTTTGTCCTTGTTAATCGACATTGTCAATAAAATAAGCAAAAGCTGAGGAAAACACTCGGCTACATCTTTGGCATTCACCGGATTCATTAACGTACTGCAGAGCAGCTGCAAAAATTCTGTCTTGTTTTCCTCTGACAACTCCTGGGAGATAAACAATACATAAATAATTACAATAAAAAATTGTAAGTGATTGAAAGACGTTAATCAACATCATACCTCGAGTCCACGAAAGGACGCGAACCTCTTTTTATAGACATCACGACGATCGCAAAATTTCTCCAGACCTTGGAGAATCATTTTGCACTAGTGCCGGAAATCGCGACCGCAGTCGGATCCGCCTTAATAGTTTCAATTGACAATACTCGTTGTACTTTCAATAATCACTAGATACTTTTTTAGCATAATCAATGTACACAACAAAAATCAAGGTTATGTCGGCTTCACTACAGGGGAAAGCACGTGTGGGAATGAGCAGAAACGCCGGTTGCGTTTGGTTTTGGTTTTGTGAGGTTTATTGTCGTTTTGTTATGAAAGCGATCGATATATACATGTATGGGCTGTATTCGAAGTGTTAAGCGACTAGTAGCGCTGCCCTGAGGGTTCGATTTGAAACTATATGTTTCCCCAAAGTATGCGTTCAAATCGTCGCGGTCGCAACGACGTAGAAAATGAGTTTTTCTATTTCCTTAACCGATTTAATGGATTATGTGGGTGAAGGTTCACGCAAATACGTGGAAGGTGAAAATGTGGCCAACGCCTACCACATTTTTTACTGTACTATCGAGGCACAATCGTTCAAAGAAGTAAAATTAGTATGTTTGTGTTTGAAGTCCACTGAAATATGATTAAAAAAATAAAAACTCATCAGTACTACCGCGACGGTTTGAACGCATACTTTGGGGAAACATATAGTTCCAAATCGAACCCTCAAGGCAGCGCTACTAGTCGCTTACCACTTCGAAATCGCAAATGCTGCCAGTTATACGTTGGTCGATATATTTATACTTTTGGAGGTCGATTTTCGGATAAAAGATAGATTGTGCTCGTGCCGCAAACATCACGAAGAATGTCAACTTTCAATTATCTATCTATAAAATTAGTTGCGGCTAGTTTATAATTGATTAAATGGTTCTACTTTAAGTAGTAATAATTATTTGGATCAGCGCTCTCTAGCGTTGCAGATTTCTGAACTAAAAAGTGGCCCTAAAATTTTCAATCAGAGCTTTGGCACTTAGAGCCATTTACTCAACTATAAACCAGCCGTAACTGATGGTGAAGCTATAAAATAAAAAAATAACGATACGTGTGTTTTTGGCGGCAAGTTAACAATTTATTTTCTACCAAAAAATTGACCTCCAATGTATTTATACTTTTGAAGATAAATTTTCGAGCATAAAATAGATTGTTAGTTTGCCGCCAAAAACACACGTATCGTTATTTTTATATTTCATAGCTTTACCATCAGTTGCGGCTGGTTTATAATTGAGTAAATGGCTCTAATCCTGAATGCTCTGATTCAGAATTTTAGGAGCCACTTTTGGCCAACCAAAAAATAAAGACCGCTAGATGGCGCTAATCCAAAATAATTATTGCTACTTACAGTAAAGTCACTTTATTAGTTATAAACCAACCGCAACGAATTTTATAGACAGATAATAAAAAGTTAACATTTTTAGTGCTGCTTGCGGCAAGTTTACAATTTATCTTTTACCTTAAAATCGACCTCCAAAACCATTAATATTCTACTTATCTTATATGGCTCACAAAATCGACAATATTTACAAAATTACAATACTCTTGACCTTTTACCATTAACTCATGTAAGCACAAATTAATCAGTCGAAAAGAGACAACTCAAGAAAAAAGGCCTGAAAAAGAAGCACAGTCACACGAAAAGTCTCAAAAGAATGGAGCATTGGATCTCACTTGATCAGAGAAGGTTGGGTTCTTTGTTTACTTATAACACTTAAAATTTACATCTCTGTAATAAATGCATTTTTCAATTAGTGAGATCCGATGCACCATTCCTAGGAGACTCTTCGTGTGACTGCTTCTTTTTAAGACCTTTTTTCTTCAGTTGTCTCTTTTCGACAGATTAATTTACGTGTATATTTGATCGTGACTTACGATTTTTGTAACACAAATTTTGCTATGTACCTATTATATAAGTTAACTATTTATTGGAAATCTAAAATTGAAGGGCTGTTCTTTCATTAGTTAATGGTGAAAGGTCAAGAGTATTGTAATATTGTAAATTTTGTCGATTTTATGAGCCATATAAGATAAGTAAAATATTGATGGTTTTTGAGGTCGATTTTTGGATAAAAGATTAATTGTAAACTTGCCGCAAATAACACAAAAAATTTTAACTTTTTATTACCTATCTATAAGATTTGTTGCGGCTGGTTTATATTTAATAAAGTGACTTTACTGTAAGTAGCAATAAGCAATAGGAATAATTATTTTGGATCAGCGCCATCTAGCGGTCTATATTTTTTGGCCAAAAGTGGCTCCTAAAATTCTAAATCAGAGCATTCAGGATTAGAGCCATTTACTCAATTATAAACCAGTCGCAACTGATGGTGAAGCTATAAAATATAAAAATAACGATACGTGTGTTTTTGGCGGCAAGCTAACAATCTATTTTATGCTCAAAAATTTATCTTCAAAAGGATAAACACATTGGAGGTCAATTTTTTGGTAGAAAATAAATTGTTAACTTGCCGCCAAAAACACACGTATCGTTATTTTTTTATTTTATAGCTTCACCATCAGTTGCGGCTGGTTTATAGTTGAGTAAATGGCTCTAAGTGCCAAAGCTCTGATTGAGAATTTTAGGGCCACTTTTTAGTTCAGAAATCCGCCACGCTAGATGGCGCTGATCCAAATAATTATTACTTCTTACATTAGAGCCATTTAATCAATTATAAACCAGCCGCAGCTAATTTTACAGATAGACAATAAAAACGTTTGACGTAGTCTGTGTTGTTTGCGGCAAGTTTACATTTTTTTAACTAAAAGTCGACCTCCAAAAATACAGATATTCATATGGTTTAATAAAATCGACCATATGGCATTACTTAGTAGTAATTACTTTAATTACTACACATAACTTCACGTTCATCTTACACCGTGCTCTCTTTACCAGAATGTTAAAATCAGAGGCTGTAAAGTTACGTAAAGGTCGTGGTGGTAACGGCGCTTGGGGTGTTTTCCGCAATCGTCACCAGCAAGTAATTTAAGGTTGCGCTCTACGTTACCATCAGGTCGATAAGTCAACTACCTTGAATTAACTGGCGCTCTGTTCCGTAATCTGGCCAGTTAAAATAGCAGACGACAGTCAACAGCGATGAAATCTTCACTTTTTTCTCGACTTTCACGTCGTCTGCTGTTTTAACTGGCCAGATTACGGAACAGAGTGCCAGTTAATTCAAGGTAGTTGACTTACCGACCTGATGGTAACGAACCCGAGAGTCCGACACTGTCCGACCGTAATCCACGTGCTGTTTTTAGTTCATGTAAATTGGAGTCACAATTAAGTAGCACTTACAATATATAAATAAGTACTTCGTTTGTGTGCATAAAAGTATTTGTTATTTACTTTTATAAATTTTCATGCTACATAGTAGACACATGTCTCCAAAGAAAGCCCCAAAAGACAGCTAAACTTTTTAATTTGTTTATTTGTTCAAGGCAAAAAATAAACGGTAATTATTTGATTGTAATTGTTGAAGAATGAAGTACGTGCCTGTATAAAATTATCATTTTAACATATTCAGCTTTAATTTTAACATTTTGATGTTGATTGACTGAATTGTAAAGTGAATACTTCTAGGTTAAGAATTTTAATTTATTATTCAGGTTCATGTTTTATTTGTCCTCGTTTATTGCACTTTTAATAACTACCTATTTACATCAACGTTTTATTCTTTTAGATCATGGCTAAGAAAAGGAAGCACAAGTCGACAAGAGGCCGTCATCGAACGATTTCAGAAATAAAAGAGGAGCAATCCCGAACGCTGTACGTTCGTCTGGCCAAGACAATAAAAAGTGTCGACGAAATCAATGAACTGTTTGTAGGTGATTTCACAGTTAAGCTCCCCAGACAGTCAACCAGGTATTGTCATGTAATTTTTCCAAGTGTTGAAGAAAAGTTGAAAAATTTAAAGTTGGTAAAAGAGAAGGTTGTAAATGGAAAGCCGGTTCATGCTTCCACGCCCAGGCCAATAAATTTAGAGAAGCCAAAGAAACCAAAAAAAATTAAGATCCCTGACCCAAAAGAGAAACCCAGGGTTCCACTATAGTGAGTAAAAAATTTACTCTTGGAAAAAAAAGTAACAGAGTGACGGATATTTATTGATTTCCATTTTGTTGTTATAGTTTACTCATATCAAAGATACCTCCAGGCACTAAAGCTTCTGAGATTAAAGCTGCATTTTCTGGTTCTGTAACTGTTGTTTTGTTAAAAGGATTAGTCGGTAACACAAGGTATATTCCTCCTACACTATTACTTGAACATCTCAAGGTTTATTAATAATTAAATTTTTTTACATTAATAATTTGTAGGCAAGCTAAAGTGAAAATGTCTTCTCCTGATTTGTGCACGTACTATGTTAAACGTAAGTCAGAGTGGCCTGTCTTTAAAGGAAAAAAGGTCAAAGTATCATATGATGAGCCCAAACGTAGATCGAGAAGAGCTTCAAAATCTTTAAAAATATACAACGGAGAGAGTGAAAAAAAGGATGATAAAAAATCTGTCAATAAAGATGATAAAAAGCTTAAAAATAAAGAAAATGGAAAATCGGACAATTGTGACAAAGAACAGTCGAGTAACGATGAAGAAATCGATAGTGCAGATGAAAGTGAAGAAGACAATGAAGTAAGTGAGGACGATGATGAGAACCAAGAACAAGGGGACGAGGAGTCGGAAGAGGAGGAGGAGGAGTCGAGTGATTAGAAGTAAAAACGACACATGATGCACTGATCATTAGTTGAGTGTTTTCACATGTGATTTATTTTGTAAGTTATTTTAAAAAGTAATTGAAATACTTCATTATACATACACTTATTAAGAAAATATTATTGTAGCTATTTTGTTTATCTGAAGTTTATCACAGAAGAGTTACTTTCATATCTCGTCATTATTCTTTTAAACAGTTGATAGGTGAAGTAGGCAATTTCGATGATCGAGATAAAGCTGCATCCCAGAAACAAGCAGAATACTCCTCCAAGCGAAGCTGAAAGTCATAAACTGACTTGAACAACCAATTCTTTTATGCCAATATCTAAGCCGTTTAAAGCATGTTTTAAAAAAAATTTCAGCTCGTTCACACGCTAATATTTATGGCTGGAGCTGCTTGCAACAAAAATTCGTACACAGGCAAAATATCACTGTTATACATACACACTAAGTTTATCCAAGATAGCATCAATTCCTTGCGCTCGAGCACAGCCGCTTGTCCCGCGAAGGTAACGTGTAATGCCGTCGAATTAGGATATTCCAGTGCCTTCCTACTGTTGAAAAAAAAAAAAAAAAACCATTTAATCAGTCCAAAGTTTGAATACACTTTTTAGAAAGAAAAAAATAATTACGAAAAAACGTACTAAAAACTGCCAGGCTTGAATTCAATAGCGTTTAGAGGCTCTCCCGTAATGGTCATCGAGTGCTTGATGGACTCGCAGTCGGACAGACAGTTGCCCCGGGCACCATGCAACAGCTGCGAGTAGATCTCGGAGTTCGCGCGGGCAAGGCACGGTATGGCCGTCAAGTTGCAGAGCCGCTCGCCACTCGCCACGTCGTTCGCGAAAAAAGGCAGGCAATTGCAGCGCTCGAACACCACCTGGTTCTGGTACTCTATGAAACAGTTCTCGGCCCTGTAGATATTCTTCGGCGTCGATACCCTGGATCAGACAGCCGTTTATTAATCATTAGTTTACTCCGTTTCTGGCTCGTAACGAACCATTAGGAATATTGAATTTATGTGAGTTGTGGTTTAGATGGCATTTTATTATTTAATAAATCCTCATTGAGCATGTATTTGAGATAATACGTAATTTCAAATGATTACTTTGTACACAATCTTTAAAAACCATCGGAAACGTTTTTTTTTAGTGCAAGAGATATCCTGTGTGAACTTTGTTTTTTAATTCCTATCGATTTGTCCATAATTTTCTGTGATTCTTGTTGATTTCCATTGAATAGGGCTATTGTGATCATTTTCATTACTAATTTTCAATAGCGATTTACAGGGTCCTAACAAAGAACCTTCGATCTTAAGTTTCGCTAAATGAAAATTTCTTCATTTTCCCAGTGAGGTAGATAAAAAATCTCAAGTCAACCAAAGAAATTGAAATTGTTCCCGAAAAATCGGTATCTACATTTTAATGTCCGACCTGCAGTTCCGTTTGTGAGGCGGCAGATTGAGAACCTCGGGGCTGCTCGTGAGGTAAGTGCCTTGTAAGCCGACGATGGTCTCGAGCGCAAAACCAGCCATAAACTCCAGGGCGTTCGGTCCAGGCAGGGTGTGGCGCTCGTGTATGAGGATCTTGTAGCCGTCGCCGTAAGTTATCGAGGCGGTGGTCTCGTTGTCGGGGTACGACCTCAGCAGGACCGATATTATGTAGCGCGTGCCGAAGTTCGTGCTGAACAGGTCACGGCCGATCGGCGAGCCTTTTCTGAAATGACCAATGCTCGTGCTAGTTATTCCTACTGCTATTAAATTTCAAGGATCTTAAAACTCAACACCTTAGCCTCTATAAACATTTCCACAGATTTTACAAATACCTTTCCATCCGGTTGTATAGTTTTGATTTATTTTTTTAATCGATCGACAAAACGGATGGATCACGTGAAAATGAAAAAAATATCACATTCACACAGACTCGAGCATGGGTACTTTCTCCATTCTTTTGCAAACCCCCTTCCAGAAAAAAAACAATGCCCTACTTACAGTTTGAATTAGAAAACAAAATTCAAAAAAGGCAAAGTATTTTGTTCACATTACATTGTGTTGTGAATCGCAGTGAAAAAAAAAAAAACAAAAAAAAAAAAACTTGGTAAGTAAACGCACGACTCACTTGCGCCGCGACGCGTCATTGAAGGAACAACAGATCCCGTAGGCCGTGATGGTGGGCTCGAAGAGTTTGTTGCACAACTCGTTTCGGTTCTCGTAAACGCAGACAAGCAGGACGTCGGCGCAGGTCGGGGAGACGAGCTCGAGCAGCTGCGGGATGCTCAAGCCGTTCAGGTCCAGGATGCGCTGCAGCTTGTCGAGGGGCTCCTGGTACGCGTTCGTCGGGTAGATGAGTTCGCGCAGGTAGCGCAGACCCTCGACAAAGTCGCCGATCGTCAGGCCCTTCGGCATTAGTCTAGGGGTTGGCGTTTTTTTTTTTTTTTTTTCATAAAATATTATTGAACAAACAAATGGGTAAAGGTGTAATAAATGTATAGTCACAGGCGTTTCTCCCTGTTGATGAAGGGCTCTAGCCGTCTGTTGTCGACCAAGTTGCCCTGGCATATAGTGATCGAGGGCACGGGCAGCTTCAGCGACGGGTACTGGCTGGTGACGACGGTCGTGCGCATGTTGGCCGACTCGTGTCTGTCGTAGAATTTGCCCGAGAGTCCGACGGCGAGGGCGAACGAGATTAAAACGACGATCAGCCAGAACACTCTGCGGTAGGACGTTGTTTTTTTTAATAATAATAATTTTTTTTCTCTTTTTCTATAGTGTACATATTTCACCCTCGTGTCTCTGAGTGATTTTTTTTTTTCAGTGATTGGTTTTTACGTTCATAAGAAAGTTTTTTTTCTTTTATCGATTCACGTTAAAGTGTATAGGATCAACTTTACTTACTACTATGTGGTTTTTGAAAATTTAAGTTTCGCGTTTTTTTATCTTAAAATCTAAAAGGTAAATAAAATCGACTTCAATTGAAAACCTTGGAAATTATTATTTTCGTTATTTATACTTTCAATCATCATTATGTTTTATTCAAGCAACTTTATTGCGAGTAAATTTTTACACATTTTTATGTAGTGTAATTACTTTCTCTAGATTTCGTCACTCTTGTTAATTTTACATCAAACAAAAACGCAATGAATTTTTATCGATTACTCGTCACGTTTTTATTCATTGCCATCCACACTATGTGTGTTAAAATTTATTCCATCAAATATTTTTCATATTTTTTTACCTTAACAAGTGATGAATTCCATTTCAATTTCTACTAGAGAACAACGAAAATTTGGACCCGATGGTAAACAAAAGGAGTGCACTTAATAGTGTAAAAAAGTGGGCTCGCGTAAAAATGCACGAACAAGTAAATGGAAAAAAAATCGATCGCCCCAGCGAGTTAAAATGTTAAATTATTTACGTAACAATTTCACGGCTTGATTTATGTTTCTCCCTAATGCAGTTATTATTGAGATGTACACAAACGCGACCGTTCGATAAGTGGTGCGTTTACTAACGTGATGTGTGCGCGTCACAGCTCGATAGTTTGTAATTACCTAATGACACACGAGTCAGATGTATACACTTGCGCCGTGAATATAACAAAGGTACACAAATAAACGACCGGTAAATTAGGTCGTACATTTTTCAATTAAAGAGAAATAAAAAAAAAATAATTAGTCCAAACAAGTAGGACACGACGTAGTATCATTGGTGTTGTTTCTTTTAAAATATAAATTACACTGCAAACAGAGCGAATTTATTGTTTTTGAAGTATACTCTGCCAATATTGGCCAAGAATAAAAATGTGTTAAAAGAATTTGTAAATAATGTGCTCTACAAACTCTAAAAATGTATGGGATCGTAATAAATATATATGAATCTTTGAACTACTACTAGGGGCGACAAAAAAACCATTTTTCTATCGGCAACTCGATTTGCATAAATCATTATTAATTGAAAAAAAAAAAAATCTCTATTGTGTTTGGCACGTCACATGGGCCATAACAAACGAAACTGAAATTACCATAAAAAGGAGAAAAAAATCGTCCCTCCCTACAAACAATGTAATAACTATATACTCCACCGCACTTTTCGAACGTCGTTCTGGCCTGCGTCGTGTACTTGATCCCGTGCATCGTCGACTCGCTCGCAAACTCCGTGTAAATCTGCTTGAGGATCTCCCAAACGCTTGGCTTTCCCTCCGGCTGCAGCCTATCCCTCTTCTCGACAAATTTATTCTTTGACTTCATTCCTCCCAAAAAAAAAAAAAAAAACAAATTTGGGCACTTCAAATGTCCACGAGATTCAGCTCGACAGTCGTTTTGCCCGTGTTCCTCATTCCAGAAATAATTTTCAGACGCACCGCGGGAACCGGCATCGAGGATACCCGAAAATGAAAAAATTTCCAAAGACCACAGGTCCTGCAGCAGCGAAAGTCGACGTGCTACTACCGTTTACGTGGGTACAAACTGTAGGGTGGTGAGCTTTTTTTTTTTTTTGTTCCATAAGATTGAGCGCGCGATCGCGATTTGTGCATTATGAATGAAGCGCGGATACAATACACGACGATGACTGTGCCGAAGAGGGAAGGGTGTTGTGGATCGATCGTGCCACTCTTTGGGGGCAATCGGGACACTTTTGTGGGAATCACGTGGTAAATTAAACACCTTGTCTAGAGTGTTGGCACTTTTTCGATATTAATGATGAATTGACTTCAATCGACACAAGTTCCAACATGTAATTTTACTTCAGTGAATGTTCTGTGTAAACATATTGTGTGAGTGTGCGTTGGTGGGTACGGGACACTGGAAGTAAATTAATAATTAATCGCAGGTGCAAATTGGGTCCTTGCAAAGTGCATTTGTATAATAAATTAACACGTACAATTTCGCGTTATCGATTGGTTCAAGCGACGTGGTGACACATATAATTATCGTAATGGTATGAATTGTCTTAAAATAAAAAATTTACATTTTTATCGAACCTGCAAGTGGAGCAAGGGTTGTTTTTATCCGTAGCTGGGATGAGTAAATTTATAGAACTTACATACAAAAAACTTATTTATTTTGAAGACGTATGATCATATTGCAGCTTGGGACGCGATTTATAGTTTTGGCAGCCAACAACTTAATTTTTTATGTCAACTGACGTGATTTTTTTCATTAATAGTAAAAAGTGAGATATTTTATCCAGTTATATTTCGTACAAACAAATATTTTTAAAATTTTTGTTTATTTTTTAGAAATTGTTATGAATAATCGTGATAGGAATCATTTAAAAATATTGAATGTATGAAAAAAAAAACGTTGCATGTAAGTTTTGAATCACCATTATTTTTTTAAGACGATAACTATACAACTCTCACATAAAAAATTATTAAAAGATTTATCTTTAAAAGTTCATTGTAAACAACAAATTTAATAATTGTAAATTATTAATTGTTTTTCCAGTACAAATGACATTTTTTAAAAGTAAAACAAAGCATTCCCTATGTGAGCGACTGGTGGTTACACTGGTATACCTCTATATGCAACTGATGGTCACAATCAAACTCAAAATCGTACGTTATGATGATTATATATTATTTGCGTGGGACGATGCATGTAAGTTAGGTATATATCACGCTTATTCATAACAAGAGTTTGTGTATACGGGAGGAAAAAAGCGGATGCTGGCTTTTTCAAAAGAGCTGTAAATGCATGTATGTACTGTACAGGTATAGGTATGTAGACACATCATCTGCGGCGGGGCTGGCAGAGGAGGAGTTTGAGATGGGGGAGGGGGGGGGCGAAACGGCCAGAGCCGCTCTCTGAGCTCTCGTGTCGTTGTCGTCTTATTCTTCCTCCCTCACACGTCGTGATGCAGCTTTTGAGACCTCTCTATTCGTGTAGGCGCGTGGACCGTGGACGTGGAGTGCACACTAGTTGGGGAGTTGAAGTTTGAAGAGACTGGGACGTTCGTTGCATTGAAAAGTACATACCACGGTTTTGTAGAGGTATACGGTATATCTATATATGTACTCTTATGGGAATGGTACAGAGAATGGGGAGAGAGAGACCGAAGAGTCAGAAGAAAGTCAAAAGAAAAGAGTCGTAAAAGGGTGTGAGGGAGGAGTATGGTAGTAGGAGGAAGAAGCTTACCGAAAAATAAAAAAAAAGTGGAGTAATATAAGTATAACCGGAGCCGTTGTGCGCGTCGTGAAAGTACAACAGTGCCATTTATGTAAATGTGGAAAAAAGTGTGGTGGAATCCAATCGAGGGATATATTCGATAAAGTATAGGCTACAGTATTGGTACAAGTAAAATATCTCAACAAACGTAGGGATTATTAACCGGCTACTCGTCTTATACGTACTATAATCGAGGAGAGCAGAAAGATATGAAATTTTATTCGATCGATCAAAAGTTGTAGTAAAGGAAGGTAGCCAATATTGATGAGATGGTGATTCCTAAAAAAAGCAGGCGGTGCCGTGATTATGCTGTTGTTGCGGGTGAAGGAAGATACGTTGTCGAACCCTCGTCGTCGTCGTCGTCGTAAGCAGCGGTATAATAAACGAGAATCGTCATCATCACCACCTGCACCATCACCCTCGGTAGTGGCGCGTAGCATGTCAACACTACGACCAATAGCCGCTCTTCAACCCTCGTTATCTTCGGCACTCCTTTTTTGCAACTCCTCGACGAGTTTACTATGTCATCCGGAGCTAACCTAGAACACGTTGTCATTGCCGTCCTCCACGTTGTTGTTGTCGTCGCCTCCACGACGGAATTATGGTAGCCGAGTGGCACAACTTTATCATCGTCGTCGCATGTCTATCTGAAAATTACGAAGACGAGGAAGAGGACGAGTTGAGGTTCAAAAGGACGAGTCCTCGCGCGCCGCCCTGGTCGTGTGAGGTTAGCGGCGAGGATTACCTGCAGTGTGTTCAAGTGCGCTCGCGAGTGTCCATCTGATACATCTATCTCCCCGTGTCTCCGCGTGTTGTTTTTCATATCTTTATTACCCGTTCTATCTACTACCTACCTGGCCATTTGCATAATTTATACAAGAGCCGAGAACAAGAAAGAGAGAGGAAGGAGAGGATCTTTTTTCCGGCTCTCAACGCAAGACTGAGGATATATCATCATCTTCCAGATTTATAGTCGTGCTTTAGGAAGAGGTGTATAGGTATGTTGTAATGTTGTACGTGTACTTATGTGCACACAAAATTCCTTTAGTTATGCAGTTTCGCTTGAGTATTGGATGTGCTTCGAGTATTATACGTTTTACTCTCTGTTGGTGTGTGCTTTGATACTGACCTTGAACTTTATGACACTGTGCATGTGTAACGTGGGCGATTGCTATTTTCGGAACACTTGTTAGCCTCTGCAGTGATCTTTTTGCTTTCACTACAATTTTCTATTATTAAACTTTATTTTCTCTCCTCTAATTACATGTGGGTAAGGTGGATATAATACTATTCGGAATTTAAAGCAATGCAGCTTGCGGCTTTCTTGTTATTGTTGAAAATTGCTACAATATGTGGTTTAAAAACTTTTAAGCTACAGCCTTTAAATTATTAATTCAAAAATGTTCAAATTTAATTCATCAAAAATTTTATCTGTACTTTGGAGTTTCTGATAAAGTTCTGAGAATTACATGCTATAATTGGAAACATATGGATTTTATTATTTAATATTGAAAGCTCATTGACTTGAATGATTGTACTACTTTGAATTAAATTAGAAAAATAGTTGGTTAGAAAAAATAAAAAATATAGTTTCAGATAATAATTTTACTATAATGTTTGATTTGATAAATGTTAAATCACACACTTTATCATCGTTGAAAATAATGATCTTCCTGTAATAATGATCCAACAAGGAAAATACGTTTGCAGCTGACGTAAACCAATTGCTGTCATACATAGTAATAAGCTTAATGTGACCAATAATTGTAGAAATAGAATTATCCATAAGAAGGTCACCACTTGGTACGTCAACTGGCAAGTAATTGCTTTACCACACAGATGCTGTGGCAATCTTTTATCATACATTAGCTGACTGCAATGCTTTATCTTTCAAATTCAGCTTGAATTTTTCATATCTATTGAATAACTAATTTGACATGAAACAGATTTTTTTATATTTAATGGATCAATTTAATTATTAAATACCAACTCTGAAAAATATGCAATACAAACTTAGGAATAAAATTAGTTTATAGTTCACTATTATTTTTAGTATTAGTTACATTTTTTTGTTTCTTGAGTATACACTGAATAAATGATACTTGAAACGCTTGCAAATAATCTAACAACTCTTATACTCTCATTAGTTATTCCTGTATGCATGTCAAAGAGGCTCTTAATAATTTCACAAGTTCTCAGTAGATACTCATTGAGACCTTGTCAATCAAATGAATCAAATGCTGGGAAATGTGTTCAATTGATGTTAAGAGTTTAAGTTGCGAAATGACAGCAATTTGATTTTTTTAACGTACTCGCTTGTACTCTGAAAAATTTAAAACACCTCCGACATCACACATTGTTTGATAAATAAAATATATTTTTTTTTTTCAGCCATAACAAATAGCCATGGAGTCAATAATAAAATATTAAGTCATAAGAAAACGGTGTCAAAGCCAATCACTATAGAGCAACGATATACCGCGGCAATGCACAATCTTGGCGAGCTGTGTCGTTGGACGTGCTGGGAGAAAACTGCTCATCGTAGTCATCATCATCATCAGCCAAAGCTGGAAAAACTTAACAATTCATAGTCACACATCAGGAGGAGAGACGCTGCCCTAACGATGCAGGCTAAAAAGCGGTACCTGCTCGTATTCGTCACGTGCGCTTTCCTCGGTTTCTGCTACTTTGGCGGCTACCGTTTAAAAAAGGCGAGTGACGCTACAGGCATCGGCGACATCAACGTCGACGATCTGACCTCGTACTACCTCATTAGCCAGCAGATGATCGACACTTACGGCACCCAAGAGGAAAGACCGCATCACCAGCATCCACGAAATCCACGAGACTGCGATATGCAGGCGTGCTTCGATAGCACGCGCTGCAAGGACGGCTTCACCGTTTACGTTTACCCAGTCGAGGAGGCCATCAGCCCGCTGTACCAAAAGATCCTAAACGTCATCACAGAGTCGCGCTATTATACCTCGGATCCCGCACGAGCCTGCCTATTCGTCCTGGCACTCGATACCCTCGACAGGGATCCCCTGTCCGCCGAGTTTGTGCACAACATGCCATCCAAGCTAGCTCGGCTTGCCCACTGGAACAACGGACGTAATCACGTCATCTTCAATCTGTACTCGGGCACCTGGCCCGACTACCTCGAGGACGCGATGGCCTTCGACTACGGCTACGCGATCCTTGCCAAGGCGAGCATGTCTGTAATGAAGTTTCGGGACGACTTTGACGTGTCGATTCCGTTGTTTGCGAAACAGCATCCCGAGCGAGGCGGCGAGCCTGGCCAGGCGATTCACAATCACTTTCCCAGCAGAAGATCGTACTTGGCGGCGTTCAAGGGCAAGAGGTACGTTCACGGGATCGGCTCTGAGACCAGGAACGCCCTGCACCACCTGCACAACGGCAAGGATCTCATATTCGTCACTACCTGTAGGCACGGCAAGTCCTGGAGAGAGTTGCAGGACGAACACTGCCAGCAGGACATCAAAGAATACGATATGTAAGTTTGTATACTCGTTCTTCGTTGCTTATACTCGTACGTCATTCGTTTGTTTATTTGTTTGTCTTTTAGGTACGATTACGATGTTCTTCTAGTGAATTCCACGTTCTGCCTTGTGCCTCGAGGACGTAGACTCGGTAGTTTTCGATTCTTAGAAGCTTTGCGAGCTGGATGTATTCCTGTTATTTTAAGCAACGGATGGGCACTTCCGTTTCACGATCGCATTGATTGGGTACAGGCAGTAATTTACGCGGATGAAAGACTTCTTTTTCAAGTGAGTGGGCGTTCATCAATTGATATCATTCATGAATAGAACACGCACGCTTTTTTTACAAAACACATGCCCGTTTGTTTATAAATGAATCTATATTTATGACGATTGCCTCGTAGGTTCCGGATATTCTTAGATCAGTAGAGCAAACTAAGATAATGGCCTTGCGGCAGCAAACGCAGTTTCTCTGGGAGCGCTACTTTTCATCGATGGAGAAAATCATATTCACGACTTTCGAGGTATTATTTTCTCACCACTTAAGTTGTTTCTTTACTCCGGTTGGTTTTGATATTACAGTATAAATATTAACGCGAAATTCACAGGTCATACGCGAACGCATCTCTTGGGAAGGTCGTAGAGAGTTGCGTGTCTGGAATCGAGATCCGGGGGCGCTGGCTATTTTACCGAAATTTGCCGATACCCAGCGTGAACTTCCGTTTCAAGAGTGCGATCCCGGAAATACGTTTACTGCCATAATCTACTCTCAGCTTGGGTCCACTGCGGTTCTTTATAGGTTGTTGAAGAGCCTCACAAAGAGCAAATATCTAGATAGAGTAAGCTGCTTTTATTACATTAAAAAAAATTAAAGTTAAAGAGCTTTGGATGGATTGAAGGTTTCATTTAGACTATCTTAACCGTCTCTTTATTACAGATTATATTAATGTGGAACTCTGACATTCCGCTACCAAAAAAGCCGCGATGGCAAGGTATTAAATCGCCGATTCACATAGTCCCCGCCAGTGGAATATCGTACAGATTTCATCCCCATCCCCTCATAAAAACTAGTGCCATATTATCGTTAGATGAAGATGTTACCCTCAACACTGATGAGATTGACTTTGCTTTTGTTGTATGGAAGAGCTTTCCAGATCGAATCGTGGGCTATCCTGCCAGATCTCATTACTGGGACGATTCCAAGGTAATTGTTATTAGGATACTTTTTGTTTAAAAAAAGACCACGTACTTAATTTTTGAAGACAAACCATTTTTCAAAATTAACATATATTTCAAATGTCAACGATTTATTTTCAGCGGTCGTGGGGTTACACGAGCAAGTGGACAAATGATTACAGTATGGTGTTAACGGGAGCTGCCGTTTATCATCGTTACTATAATACTCTTTATACTGAAACTCTGAGCTCGACGCTTCACAAAACTGTCGAGCAATCTCAGAATTGTGAAGATATTTTGATGAATTTTTTAGTAAGTCACGTCACCCGTCGACCTCCGATTAAAGTGACTCAACGTAAGATGTATAAAGATACTACGGCCGCTGAGAACAGGCAAGTGTACAATGCAAAAAAAAATTTCGACATACTTGCACAAGACATACTTTTGTACATTGTTTATTACTTGTACGTTTATTGTTTACAGATCTCCATGGAACGATCCAGACCATTTCATTCAGCGTCAGACCTGTATGAACACATTCGTTGCCGTTTTCGGTTACATGCCATTGCTGCGATCAAACATGAGACTGGACCCTGTACTTTTTAAGGACCCTGTAAGCAACATGCGCAAAAAGTATAGGCAAATCGAACTAGTTAATAACTAGGATTGTATACATTTTACTATTAAATATATACATATATTATGTATGCGGTTAGTCAAAATGGACTGCTAAAAGTTCGCGACTGTAGTTGAAGTGTGAATTTTTGTAAGATTGTGCGATGTATATTTATGGTCATGCCGATCTAAATTGTAGCTTGGTAAGGCTATGAACAATAACGAAGGAACAAAAGACGAACAAATTGTGTATAGGAAAAAATAATGCGTACGTGTACCTATAAGGAAACAATAAGTACGTGCACGAAAGTCACGATAAGTTAAATTATCAAATTATATATGTATATATAAAGATATATCACGTGCGCTTCGGATCTCTCGCGCCCACGACGAAACGTTTTTTTGTATCTTGACGCGCCGCAAATAATTTTTTAATCCCTCTCAGCCCTCGTCCCGCGTGAAAAGGTCGATTTTGCATTCGTGGATTAAAGTAGTTAGTAACCGATCGCACACAAACATTTTTATACTTTGACGCGAACGATGCATCATCTTTTTTAAACGGCGGTATATCTATAAGAATAAACATTATCTTGAAAAATTTTTCGGCCCGCCCGCGCTAGCTCCAAGACGTCCTTTAAATGTCTGCTATTGAGCGACTTCAGTACAAAAGTGAGAGAACGAGATTGAAAAAGGCTAAAAAATTTTAACAAAATTACTCGAACGATTACAATGAACAGAGGTATCGAAAAGAGAGATCCGTTGTCGCTCTCGGGGTGATTCTCTACCAAAACATAATTGCGAGTTACGCTGCTATGCCGAATAATGATGTACATAAAGTGAAAAAGAAAAAATTCGTTTATTATTATTATTATTATTATTATTATTATTATTATTATTATTATTATTATTAT